TAAAAGTTGAAATTTTCCACAAATATTTCTTATAGTTTTGTTTGGTATTGAAAATGGGCAATATCGGTCCGCCTTATCGCATAGCCCCCATACAAGTGGCCCCCGAAAAACAGCTTTAACAGTCATAACTGTTATAAAAATGCGAGTATAGCGATGAAATTCGACATAAATAAGTTTTATAAGAGCTAAATTCTCTCTACCAAATTTTATGAGGATCGGTCCATAATTGACCCTCATACATATGTATATGGTCCCTTCCAAAAAATTACTTTAATGCCCATTACTGGCTTAAAAATACGAGTCCAGAGCTGAAATTCGATATTAATAAGTCCATAATTTACTCTACCCCCCCATATAAGGTTCCCCTCAGAACATGACTGCAATGCTCACTACGGGCTGGAAAATACGAGTATAGCGCTGAAATTCGACAAAAGTAAGTTTCTTACAAGCCAAAGTCTCTCTACCAAATTTTATAATTGACTCTAAAGTTGGACTAAAATATTTTGATTTTAATAATTAATATTTTGTAAATACGAAAGGGATGTGTCCTTAATTGACTTAAGCCCTATTTCAAATATCAACCTAATGTTTATATAGGAGCATTCCATTTACGGCATATAAGATTCGGCATAGTCGAATATAACACTTGTTTTTAAATGAAATTTGTGTTCGAAAAATTAAAAAATATGCTAAATATGCAAAATATATGAATTTTAAAACAAAATATGCAATTTATGCATTTATTACAAAATTTGACAAAAATGCAACAACAAATCGATGCCATTTTGTTGCAAATTCATTGATTCGAAAAGAAAACTACTTAAAAGTTATTTTGAGTTACTGACTGCAAACATGCATTTGCATAGAAATCCTTGCCCTGATTATGACTATAAATTTTATAAATAAATAAATTAAATCCATATCTTACCAATTTACTCGCAACATCCACTGGATTTACATCGCGTATATCAAATTTGAATGTTATAGTTTTTTGTTTGTTTTCCATGTGACAATTAATTACGGTGCCATGTTCAATTCCAGTAACGCTTAATTTTGGTATGCGTTCCGTGCCACTACGAGTTGACCGACGAGGCTTTAATTTAGCTGCTTCTGGCTGTTGCTGATGGGAGTGCGATGGAGAAGCATTGCAAACGTTTTTGCTAGAGTTTTGAGAGCTTGGTTCCACTGACTTTGGTTGTTGAGTTGTAGATTGTGATGTTGTCGACTGCTGTTGTTGGTTTTGTATTATACGGTGTTGTGTAACATTTGATTGTTGGTCGGAAGATTGTTGTTGAGTTGGTTGTGTAGTATTTAGTTGAGGCAAAGTCATTTGCTGCATTTTTTGTTGTTGTGTGCCATTTTGTTGCTGTGGAACTTGTAGCTGTTGCTGTAATTGTTGAGGTTGTTGTGTAGTAGTTTCCTGTGAAGAAAATTGCTTCTGAATTATTTGTTGATTTAGTTGGACCAAATTTTGTGTTTGCTGAGCTGCATGTTGTTGTGTTGTATACTGTATAGGAAACTGCTGTGACGTGTTGAAAACTGTGGTTGGTTCTGAAAGATAGGTAACTTTAATACCAAAAAACGCACGTGTATGTATGTATGTATGTTGTATGTATGTATGTATGTATGTATGTATGTATGTATGTCTGTATGTATGTCTGTATGTCTGTACTGTCTGTCTGTATGTGTATGTCTGTCTGTATGTCGTCTGTTCTTTCTGTCTGTCTGTCTGTCTGTCTGTATTTCTGTCTGTCTCTGTCTGTCTGTCTGTCTGTGTCTGTCTTCTGTCTGTCTGTCTGTCTGTCTGTCTTTCTGTCTGTCTGTCTGTCTGTCTGTCTGTCTGTATGTCTGTCTGTCGTCTGTCTTCTGTCTGTTGTCTGTCTGTCTGTCTGTCTGTCTGTCTGTCTGTCTGTCTGTCTGTCTGTCTGTCTGTCTTCTGTCTGTCTGTCTGTCTGTCTGTCTGTTCGGTCTGTCTGTCTTCTGTCTGTCTGTCTGTCTGTCTGTCTGTCTGTCTGTCTGTCTGTCTGTCTGTCTGTCTTCTGTCTGTCTGTCTGTGTTTCTGTCTGTCTGTCGGTCTGTCTGTCTGTCTGTCTGTCTGTCTGTCTGTCTGTCTGTCTGTCTGTCTGTCTGTTGTCTGTTCTGTCTGTCTGTCTGTCTGTCTGTCTGTTTGTCTGTCTGTCTGTCGCCTTCTCCGCCGCCCCTGTTTTTTCTCTTTTTCTCTTTCTTTCCCCTTTTTTCTTTTTTTCTTTTTCCTTTCTCCCTCTGTCTTTTTTTTTTTTCCTTTCTCTTTCTTTCCTTTTTTTTCCTTTTCCCTCTTTTCGTGCCTTTTTGCCCTCTTCCTTCTCCCTTGTTTCCGTCCCTGCTCCCTTCCCTTCGTTGTGTCTCACCCCCCTTGTGTCTCCCTGACACCCAATGGTGCCTATATTCTGTTGTTTCATTGTGTTTTTGCTATGAAACGATAATTTGTTATATATTTTGATATGTTGTTTGGGATATTTACCTATATTTAAGTTATTTATAGACCAATTTTATTGATTTTAAATAGGAAAGCATGTCTAGCAGAATTATTGAAGACTAAGATCTGGATGATATCTGGGATCTTGAGAAAATTGATTTCAACGGATAGAGTGACAGGCAAACGGACATAATCCAGCAAAAAATTATCAGATGTAATGTAAGCGATAAAATTGGGCAGAAGCAATGCAATGCTTACTTATTTAAAAAAGCTTCCAAAATGCAATAAAGTAATGCAGTGGTTTTGTAATTTTTCAAGTTTTGGTATATCTTTTTAGTATGCTTACTTAGAATGCATACTTTATTGATTATTATTATGTCGGTGTTGCAGAAAAGTTGTAGAAAATCGATTTTTGGATTTTATTTCTAAATCTGAATAATTTTTGATATTTTATCAAAATATACATCTGGTGTCCATGTTAACCTTGTGCGCACGGCAAAGCCCCCCATTTTCGAGATAATTTAACAAAATCATCCTTAAGTGGGACAAGTACCAAGTACATTATTACACATATACCCATATAACCGGATTTTTCGAATAGGTTTTGTATATGCATAAATGAGTCATGATAGGGCCTCATTTGACCTTAGCTCTATACAAACGTCCCTTCAGAAGAATAAAAATTTATGCGAAGTTCATCACACCCTCCTATATCACATTTTAAATATACTCATATTAAAGACGTGCAGTAGTACACCACAAAGAATTTGTAAAACAAATACACCATGGTGAGTACCTAATACTAAAAGTATAAACGAGAGAATGAGTGTAACTGATATTGTATGCTTTTGCTTGTGTTCATCCACTCTATCCACAAATACAATACTAGTTGCTTATGTTTTTGAGTTGAATCCTGTAGTGTATTTGTTTCTTGCTCTGAAATAACTGTTGTACTACAAATATTTTTGACTATTTGTTGTTACTTATAGAAATACAAAGAATCTATATTGATGCAGTATATTTATTTATATTAAATATAAATGGTTTCAAAACAAAAGAAAAATAGTGATAAATGGATAATAAATTTGTGAATATTTTTATATTTATTTTTAATTTTATTTTTCTGAAAACAATTAGAAAAATAATATATATAATATGTATATGTACATATTATGTACATATGAATGTATCTTTTACATATCTTTTTTAAAACAAATTTAACTTAAAATTATAATTTTAAAATTCTAGATATTGCTTATAAGTAGTAGAAGAGATATTAACATAGGTTAATTATACCCTACACCACTATAGTTGGGAGGATATAATTTTTCTTTTGACCCAATGAAAATGGTTAAAATCGGTCCATTGTTTCAACTAGCCCAAAACTGTACCCTTGAATAGGGCTTTTCAAAAAAACGACAAAACTAAGTTCATCATTTATTTGATAAAAAGAATTAAAATGAAAATACAACATTTAAAAGAAAAAATATATATTTTTTAATTTTGAAAAATGTATCTCAAAAAATGTCTAAGTCTAATATCTAACATAAAGAAGAGTGTTCCGAGAAACAGCTTTTTGTGAATTTAAAGTAGGCACAAGTCTCAAATGATGTAAATCATGAAAATCATGATTTCAGTACAAATTATAAAAAAAAGTTTCCTAATTTTTTTTGAAATGTGTCTTAAAAATTTCATAATTCCTAAATAAATTAAAAAAGTCAATAAAACGCTAAATATTTTTATAAACTTTTTGATCGAAATATTCTTAAAATTACAATAATTTTTACATATTTCGAAAAAAATCAATATTTTTGTGTCCTTTGTAATGCGCTAAATAAAAGTCTTTTTGTGGACCAAAAATATTCTTACAAATTTTACAATTATTTTTCCCGCAATAAGCTCAAAATTAGGGAATATTTGAAATGAATTTCGACAAAATTTAATAAATATATTTATTGGCAAATTGTACTGAGATCAAGATTTTTAAACAGGAAACAAAGGACTCTTTCAAAAGTTTTATTTTGTATTTTTCCATTAAAATGTTTTGTTTTTTTTTTTAAATTCGGATCATAAATGCATTTTTATTGATTTTAAAAAATTGAGTCGAGGTGACCAATTTTAGGGGCCTTACCACTGGACTCCATTGGACCTACGGAGTCTAAAGATTGTAAACACCTCAGCTCTAACTATGTAAAATTTTGCTACGATATCTCCTATAGATCACGAGATACCGAATATAAATTTTAAAATAAAAAAATTTTCTAAGCAACTGAATTTTTATGCGTTTGCAGCATACAATAAGTTATTTGTTGTACAACCATCATTATCAGTTTTATTTGTTTGGCAAAAGTATAGCTAAACCATAAAGAAATAAACACATTTGGCGACATGGCTCTCCTAAACAAGTACTCTTAAGCTCATTGACGTCATCAGTGCCTAGAATTGATTGTATGATATGAAAATTGTATGTGATTTATAATATGTTTAAAACTTATTTATGTCTAATAAATTAAAATATATTTTACGTTTTATGTTATTAGGAATATTTAACTAATTTAAATATTTAACCTATTTAAATATAATAGGGACTAATCTATTTATTACAGAAATCATTTGGGAATTAAGCTTCATACTAACCCATTTCGAATTGTAAATTGTTTTCAAAGTCTTCGGTTTTGAAATGCTCCATACAGATTTTAGACGTTTTAACGTTATTTTTTTTTATTGCGGCAACAAAAACTTATCCATTGCTTTAATAAGCTAGGATCTGAAGGAAAGTTAAAAAAATTTATTGCACACGATTTTGATTTTTTATTATTATTATTGCAATTTTTGACTGCACACCACATTTTAATTTACTTCTTTTTATTTTTTCACTATTTGTTTTCAAATTTCATGTGAAAAGTTCGTAAATTGCAGGCTAAGCGGGCTTCTGGAAACGTTCCACATGCCCGTGATATGCCTACTGGTAGGAGTGTGGTCACGGAGGGGTTCTCATACGCCGCAGCAGCCAGGTCTATTTCGGTGGATGATGGGGCATCTACGACACCGCGGCCTTCTGGTCGTGCGAATTTGGTTGGTTCCGGGACCTCGATTGGGGATGCTATGGCTCAGTATGATCTGATGGATAAGGACTGCTCTCGACTCCTTGGGGGTGGATTCCTGCAGTGCTTGGGAAAGATTAGTGAATTTGCTAGGGAATATAGGACATTGAACAATGACGGTGACAAGACTCGCGCCTTGCTTGGTGTATTAATAACATTGGGACAAGATGGCTAGGACAATTAAGTGTATTTTCATTAATGTTAACTCGGTTGTCTCCAGATATCGAAGACACTATTTGAATTTGTTCTTACACGAACATAAACCGGACATATTGTTATTTTGCAGAGCGGTACGACTGTACTAGTGAGGGAAACGTACTAGTGAGGGAAACGTATACGGGTCCCCCCCCCTATTGGGGGGACCCGTATACGAATCCGAGTGGACGTAAACTTCGTGACTTTTAGGACAATTCTTTCTGCCAATCTTGAGGACAACAGGTTACCTATTGATCGTAATATTTCTAAGGACGACATCGATAGGTGCATAGATGCAATGAACAGAGCATTCACTGACGCCATGGAACAGTCGATACCTAGAGTATCTGCACGGGGTAGGGGTATGGGAAAACTTCCACCGCATATAATGCATATTTCTGATGATCCCGGGAAGGCAAATCTGCTGGCAGATTGCTTTTTCCAGGATCATCATCCTGCTCAGTCGGGTCGCTTTGGCCCATTTGCTTCGACTGTTACTGACATGGTTACTAATTTGGACAGAACAACGCCACTGACCACATTTTGTGAGACTTTTACCGCTGATGGGGGGACTGTAGACTCTACTGGAATATTTAATGGACTTAAATTTACTGACGCTGCATCTATCCGTGATGCACTTAAAAGACGATCGAACAAAAAGACGAG